GGTGACGTCAAGATCCCGACCAATCGTCACCTTCTTATCATGCTCGAGCTCAATTTCCATCAATCCTCGAGATTTGCATGACGTCGTTATTTATTTCCCGAACACTGGCAACATAGCATTGTCTGGCAGCTGTCTGGTCTCCACGGACAACCCCAACGCCATTACTTGTTGGAAACTTCATGGCTAGGTGGAAGGTGGACACAATGGCTTTAATCTTGTTGAGGAGTGGTCTTCCCAGAATTGCGTTATAGGCCATTGAGACACGTACCACTTGAAAAGATGTCATCTCCATAACCTGCTTCTGGCCAGAACCCAAAGTTAGTGGAAGCTCGACGACACCCTCTGGAGTGATGACTCCTCCCCCAAACCCCTGAAGAGGAGTTTTAACCGCTTTGAGTTGGTGAGATGAGATTCCCATTTTGGCAAAAGCTTCTTGGGAAAGTATATTGGCCGCACTCCCGTCATCAACCAAGATCCTCTTTACTTCAAAATTGGCCAAAATTGCTGAGATTACCAAGGCATCATCATGTGGGAGTGATACGCCTTCTAAGTCTTCGGTCCCAAAAGTAATATTCTCCAGCTTTCCATGGGGCATCCCAGAGGCCAAGGCATATCGTCGGGCATATTGTTTTCTTCCACTGTTGGAGTCTCCTCCCGAGGCAATACCTCCAATGATGATATTGATGGTTCCAGCAGTGGTTTGACCATCCCTTTTTGCCTCAGGGACTTTTTCCCTGCCACGATCGTTCCTCGGCCGTTTGTCGTTACCGACGTAGGAACTCAAGAGTTCTCTTTTAATAAGGGCTTCAATCTCCCGTTGCCGGGCCTTACAGTTCTCCGTGTTATGCCCATGATCCCGATGGAACTCACAGTACTTGTTCATGTCCCTGGATTCGGGTGGTGACCTCATTCTGACAGGCCACTTCAATTCCTTCATATCCTTGATCTCCATCAATATATTGGTTTTTGACGTATTTAAACGTGTGAACGGCGTCGGGGGAACCTCTTGCCTCTATTTTTTTCGTTGTTGTTCTTCACGGGGGTTTGGATCATGCTGTCTCTTATGCTCGACCCTGTCATAGGATGGTCAAACCTTTCTCGGGTTCAGCGTTTCCTCCATATTTATGTACTTCTCAGCTCGGGTAAGAAGCTCGGTGACTGTCTTCGACGGAGTTTTGGATAAAGACATCTTGAAAGCCTCGCACTTTATGGCATATGTGAGGGCAGAAACTGCTGCAGTTATGTGTAGGTCGGGAATCTGAAGTCTTTCCTTGTTGAACCTGGTCATGAAGTCACGTAGGGTCTCATTTTGCCCTTGTCTAAGTTGCATGAGGGAAGCTGCTGTCTTCCTGATGCGTTTGCTGCTTGCGAAGAAAGCGGAGAACTTGTCCGCCAAATCCGAGAATGAGGCTATGGAGTTGGCCGAGGTCACA